GAGATTGAATGCTCTAGACTAGGGCTGTTCCCATTCAAACCGTGGGGATCCTTGTGCTGGGCAGAGCTCTGGGAAATGCTGTGTCTTGGTTTTTTTGGGCAGTCCTGTGATTTCCCAGAGGCCCCTGCTGACTGTGCTCATGTCCCTCCAGGTGGTGTATCTGGCCAGTGAGACCTTTAACTACAGTGCCATTGACAGGGTGAAGTCCCGAGGAAAGAGGCTGGCCCTGGAGAAGGTGCCGAAAGTTGGCCAGCGCTTCAACCGCATTGGTCTGCCACCCAAGGTAGGGCTGCCAGTCTCCATGCCTGCCTGTTAGCACCTCCCCAGCCTCTGTGGCCTTCTGTAATGCAGCCTGTCCTTGCTTCAGGTGGGCTCCTTCCAGCTCTTTGTGGAAGGCTACAAGGACGCAGACTACTGGCTGCGGCGGTTTGAAGCCGAGCCGCTCCCGGAGAACACTAATCGGCAGCTGCTGCTGCAGTTTGAGCGGCTGGTGGTGCTGGATTACATCATCAGGAACACAGGTAGGGCCAGCTGCCTGCCACTGGATGCTGCCTGCTCCTTCATGTCCTACCATGCTGGAGAAAGGAGAGGAAGATAGGGTCTTGGTGGCTTTTCCCTGCACCTGAAACTCCATTCCCCTTGGTTGCTGCCAGGTGACATCTGCCTCTAGGCAGAGTGCAGCTGCTGGGCTGCTCACCACCTGAGGCTCTGGCTGCTGGCCAGATTACTGGCAGATCTGGATCTACCATAGTGCTCAGGTGAAAGTTTGCCAGCTGTGAGGATCCAGGGACATCCAGAAATCCAGAACTTAACTGTGCCGCTGTATATCCCATTTCACACCATGTCCCTGAGTTTCTGCTAGGCTGGAAGGCACTGAGGCTGCACTCTGGGGCTTGCAGGCTGACTTTTATCTTGGGAGCTGGAGATATGTGGACCTCTAGGGCTGTCTGTAAGGGGCTTGATGTGCCTTCAGCAAGTTTAAGGGCTCTGGGAGTTTGTGCCTAAAATGTGTCTGTCTCAGTTCTGGGTCAGAGAAGGAATAATCTTGTGCCCAGCCTGGTGCAGGGAGGCTCTGGCACTGACACAGCTGGTTTTATCTCCCTGCAGATCGGGGCAATGACAACTGGCTCATTAAGTATGACTGTCCCCTGGACAGCGCGGGCGTGCGGGTGAGTGGCTGCTCCTGGGCAGGGGCAACATGGGGACTCTGCTTCTGGAAGCTGCCAGGCAGCAGGAAAGGAATTTCCTATCTCGTTTGGGTTTCCAAGTGTGTTGAGGCCTGATCTTGTCTCCTGGGCCTTTTGTTACCATTTGCATATGTGACTTGTGGCCTAGTGGGACTTTGTGAGGGTGCAGCTGAACTCTGTGAGGGAAACTGGTGTTGCTGGGGAAAACTGGTGTTGCTGGACCTTGGAGCGAGGCCTGGGGGGGAAACAGCTTTGTCCCCCTTCCCACCCAAAGCAGACTGTGCTTCCCTGTGGTTAAGGTGCCATGCTACAGGCAAGAGGCTGCTGTGCCTCTGTGGTAGCCAGGGCAGAGATCCTGACAGTGGGGCTGCAGGGAGTAGGAGGGGGACTGTTCCTGCTGGGAGGACCTCCTTGTGACATGCTTCACTTCCTTCCAGGACAGCGACTGGGTGGTGGTGAAGGAGCCCATCATCAAGCTGGCTGCTATAGACAATGGTTTGGCCTTTCCCTTGAAACACCCGGACTCCTGGAGAGCATGTGAGTCCCTCAGGCTATGCCAAGGCACCATGGCAAGCCATACAACTCCATGCTTGGGCATCCTTTTCAAGGATTATAGAGGAGAGGGCTAGGGCTGTGCCTCTGCTACTTCTGGGTTCATGGGCAGCTCCTCAGCAGAGACTCTAGAAGGCAGATGCTGGACCCCATGTCCCAGATGCAGGGAATCTAGCACCCAGGGGCATGTGGCACTGTGCGTTGCTTTCTCCAGTTCTAATGTCTCCTGCTTTCTTCCACAGATCCATTCTACTGGGCATGGCTGCCCCAGGCCAAAATCCCGTTTTCACAGGAGATCAAGGACCTGATTCTTCCCAAGATCTCAGACCCCAACTTTGTCAAGGACCTGGAGGAAGATCTGTATGAGCTCTTCAAGGTGAACTGGAGGAGTGGGTGAAAATGATGTAGGAGGAGGAAAAGCGGGAGTGGTGTTGGGGAACTCCCTGTCAAGGTTGCAGGGACAGATAGGTGGTCACGCTCCTGACCATGTCTCTGGGCTGAGACACAGCAGGGTTATCCTTCTGCCAGGAACTGAAGATTCAATGTGGGAGAAGCAGGAAACCCATGGGACAGGACAGGGGGTGTGGCTTACTTGGGGAATAGGCACCTTGTTCATTGCATGAAGCAGTGGGTGGATCTCATTGTGTTCTTTGCTCTCCCTCTTGCAGAAAGACCCTGGCTTTGACAGGGGACAGTTTCACAAGCAGATTGCTGTCATGAGAGGCCAGGTAAGCTGTGCATAGGGAAGACAGATGGGTGAGGTAGGAATCCTTGTCCTGCCTTTGTGACAGAAAGGGTGCTGGAGTTGGTGTTCTCTGTTGCTCTCTCAGGGGAGCTCAGGCATTGCTCTGTTGTGCCATACAGATCCTGAACCTGACTCAGGCGTTGAAAGATGGGAAGAGTCCACTGCACCTGGTTCAGATGCCACCTGTGATTGTGGAAACAGCGCGTTCCCACCAGCGCTCCGCCAGTGAGTCCTACACGCAGAGCTTCCAGAGCCGGAAGCCTTTCTTCTCATGGTGGTAGCTGTGGGAGCCACGGGCAGGGCTTGGCCACCTTGGACTAGCACTGCGAGAGGAGCTGGGCCACTGCTGGCTCCTGTGGCTGGGACTTGACCTTCAGGGTAGAGCGAGCAGATGCGACTGGAGGAACCTGCAGCTGAAGTGGAGGAGCCAGGCAGATTGGGCATGGTCCCTCCCCAGCTCCATTGGAGCTTGGTGCCCTGCCTGGGGCAGAGGCCAGGGGTAGGTATGGGAATCTACCAGGAACTGTGGTGTGGCTGAGACCCTGCTCCTGCCTCTCTTCCTTGGCCTGCATGTGGTTCTGAGCATCCCTGCTTGGGGCTGGGATGAACAGGCTACTTGAGCCAGGATCCGTCCAGCCCTTTACAGCAGCCACTGGCCCTTTTCCTCCCCACCATGCCAGCTGTCAGGCTGGGAAGGCCTTTAGCAGGTGATAGCCCCTCCATTTCCCTGAGGGTGTGCTGTACTCCTCCACTGTCCCTCTGGTGCCCCAACCCCGTGCACGCTGCTTTCCTCAGGGGGAGTTCCTGCTGCCCACTGGCGTAGCGGGGACCACAATGAACGGCTGTTCTCTGGCTAGAGGCTCGAGGAGGGGGACATAAGAGGGACAACACATGGAGCTGGCTTGGGTGCAGTTAGACACTAAGGCAAAAAAGGTTCTGGCTTGTCCCTGTGAAGAGCAAGCGGCTTTGCAGAGCTCTCCCATGGGAGCTCTCTCCTTTTGCCCCAGTCCATTTCTCCTGCCTGGTCTCCATAGCCGCTCTCGCTTGACTTTCTTTCCTCTCCCAGCAAGCTTCCTGGCTGCTGTGCAGCCAGCATGGTGCCAGCCTTGTCTGTGCCTAGGGACACTCTGAGGGGCAGGAGTTGCCAGGAAAGGGCTGGAGGGGTTCTTCTGCCACATGGGTGGGAGCACTGGGGGATCAGCATGGACTTCTGGCTGCCCTGGAGCTGACAATCTGCTGTGGGTGGGGAGGCAGGAAGCCCCTCTCTCACCAGCAGCTGCTGAGCTTGTGTTGTATAAAACAGCACCAGGGCTGCTGCCTGCACCCGCTTGCCTTGAGCTGTGACTCCTCAGGCTGCTGAGGAAAGTCAGTGTTGGGTCTTGCTGTTCTGTTAGCCCATCTTTGGGGAGTGAGAGGGATGAAGGCAGAGCAGCTGCTTTGTCTCCTGCAATGGGGAGGGGGTTCAGCACTGGCTGTGTAAGCACAGAGGAGGCAGCAGTGGAGATCCCAACTCCCTGGCCAGGCCCAGCTGCATTTGACTGACCCAAAATGTATTGTTCTAATGCACTGTAGAAATGTATGTAATGTATTTAAACCATGCAACGGTCTGAATAACAGCGCTGCCATTCAGCTGGCTACATCTGTGACTCTGCAGCACCCTAGAGCAGGTCGGGGCTCCTCATCCCATGGCTGGTATCCATTGTACCTGCACAGGAATGCACTGGCCACCTGCAACTGCTGGAGGTGCTGCAGGACAGAGTTCCTTTCCTGTCTGCTCATGCTGGATATTGAGGACAACCAGCTGCCTAGGCTGTCCCTTGGCATCCTCTGTCTGCAGGTCCTGCTCCAGTCTCTCCTGGGCCCAGTGGCTCTTGGAGGGGGAGCTCTAGAGGCTGGAGATGAGGCTGCCCAGCTGCTGCTTCCCCTCCTCGAAGTGGCCACAATCAGACTGTAAGGGTGCTTCCTGCAGCTGCTTATCCTTCAGCCACAGGACCATGGCTTGGAGTTTTGTTCTTTTGGCAGCGAGGCTGAATACCTCCTGCTTCAGCTTCTCCAGCTTCAGAATGTCTGCCATGACTTCTCTGTTCTCCTGCGTGCTACACTCTTCCAGCTTGGCCAGCTGGTCTTCCAGCAGAGAAATCTTTCCTTGGAGAATCTCTATTACCTCTTCCAAGCATTCCTTCTCATGAAAGCCAGCATGTGGCTTGTTCTTCAGTTGTCCCTGTGACTGTGACAGGGCAGTTACTATGTGACTGTGCACTGGAATAGATTGCCCAGAGAGACTGTGCAGTCTCCCTCACAAGAGATATTCAGGAACCATCTGGATGTGATCCTGTCACATCTGGTCTAGGATGACCCTGCTTAAGCAGGGAGGCTGGAACAGATGACCTACAGGTCTGTTCCAACCTGGCCTGTGATGTGGGGCTGTTCCCCTTGCACTAGGTGCTCTACAACAGCCTGGACCATGGTTCTGACATTTAGGGATGGGCAGGACACAACCAGAGCCTCACCCAGCCACCACTGTCCACCCTTTATTAACCATTCATTGCACCCTGCCCAGTACACTTAGGGTCCTTGGAGAGCTGCTCTCCGCGGCCCAGCCGCTTAGCGTGCTACATGGACCCTGAGCCCGTCTCGGCCCCGCAGTCAGCCTCCAGCTGCTTCTCCGCGATCCTACGAGCAAGAGGTTTGTGTCAGCGGCGTGACCCGGCCCCACTTCCCCCGGTTGCCCCGCCTCCGCGAGCCGTACCTACCGAAGGAGTTCGAAGCGCCGTAGCGCTGCCATCCCACCGCCAGGCTGGGCTGTTGGCCGTCGCCGAAGCCGCCGCAGGGCCCGCGCCATGCGCCGCTGGCCCGCGTACCGCCAGACGAGGCGGGCGCGCTCCTCGGGCCGCTCGGCCCCGCCGCTCCGGAACAGGCTCCGCAGCTCCCGCAGCCCCACGCCCTGGAAGATGTTGGCCGAGGCCCGCTTACGGGCGCGGGCTGCGGGCGCCGCCCGTCCCGGAGAGTCGCTCACCACCGAGGCCGGAGTGCCCATGGCCCTGGCCGCTGCGGGCACCGAACAGTCGGCGTCAGGCTCCGGTCTCGCCGCCCGGTCCGGTCCGCCTCCCCCGGGATCCGGCGCGGATGCCCAGTGAGGAAGGGGGGGCGGCGGGGGAAGGGCGGTCCGGGACGCCGGGCAGGGGGCCAGCCGCGCAGGCGGGGCCGCCCGGGAACGCGGGAGACGCCCCGGCTCGGGCCGGGGCACGCAAGTCCGGTCCCGCCCTGCCCGGGGCGCTGGGCCCCGCCGTGACCCACTTTCGCTCCGATGCTGCCCCGCACCCACCGGCCCCTCGCACAGACCTGGCGGTGTTGGCTCTGCCCGGTGCCCGCTGCGTTCCCGGACCCGCTTCGTGCCCCCGCGCCGGGGTCCCGCCGCGGCCGCGCGCCCCATTCATTCCCCGCGGCGTGCCGGCGCCGCCTCCCGCCGCCACGGCCAATCGGCGCCGAGGGGCGCGGCTGCCCCGCTTCGCGCGGGAGGCCGCGTGGCGCGGATGGCGTCACGGGCGGGGTGCGAGGCCTCGCCCCTGGGCGGGGCCAGGGCGCTCCGAAGGGAATCCCGGATGACGTAAGGGGAGCCCCGGTGCGCGCCCCCCGCCGCACGGGCTCCCGGTGCGCTGTCCCCGGGCCCCGCCGCCGGCATCGGTCGCCACGTCCTCCCGCCGCCCCTCGCGCCCTGCCTGGTGACCCACCCCGCGGCAGCAGGACGGGAGGGGCGCGGCGATCCCCGCCCGACGGCGCATCCGCGGCGGCCCTCGGGTGTCCGATGGGCTGGCGGGAAGTGCGGCGGGGCGCGGAGGCGGGGCGGGAAGGAGAGGAGAGAGGCCCCGCGCGGGGAGGAGCGCGAAGTGCCAGATGTTTGGCAGTAGTGAGGGAGGAAGTCGCTGCCGGGGCTCTGAGTCCCGCCCGAGCCGCGCCGGAGTAGGCAGGGCCGCGCCATGGCCCGCACGGCTCCCCCGACTGTGCCGCCGCCGCCGGGGCCGCCGGCCCGCGGCTCTCTCAGCCTCCATCGCGCCTACCTGCGGAGCCCGCTGGGCCTGCTGCGCCTGGGGCAGCTGGCTCTGGGCGCTGCCTTCTGGGTGACGGTAGCGGCTCATAAGTACGAGGGGGCGGCCCACTTCGCTCTGTTTGCCGCCGTCCTCATCTGGCTGCTCACCCTGGCCCTCTTCGGGCTGAGCCTGCTGGGGCGCTGGGAGCTGGTGCCCTGGCTGGGCTCCCGCTGGCTCCTCACCAACCTGGTGCACGACCTGGCACTGGGTGTGGGGCTCTACACAGCTGCCACTGGCATCATGGGTCACAAGGCCAAGCAGAGAAGCTTTTGCAACCTACCGGGCTACAGCCAGCACTGTCTGTACAGTGCCTACCTGAGCGCCTCCATCTGCGGGGGCATCACTGCCTGCCTGTACCTCTTCTCTGGGCTCTATTGCCTGTCACGGCGTTGCCAGGACCAGCGAGACATCATCTGAGATCCCGTGCCACTTGGCTCCCCTTCTCAGCCACAGCCAGAACACAGCCTGTCTTTGGGATGAAATGACCCTGCCGCCCCATCCCCTCCTGGCTGACTGCACTGCAATTCCTCCAGAGACTCCTGCACAGACGGATGGACAGACAGAGGCCTTCGCCGAGCACGGCTTCCCCTGCAGCGCACCGAGACAGCGTGGACACCCAGCCACTGCACAGGCCCTTCCCCCAGCCCTGGACAGACGTAGGCTACTGCAAGTGGAAGGACCCAAATGGAGAGCCCCTAAGAAGGATACCAATCTTTGGGAGCCCCCCTAGGACTCATGCCAAAATCCCCTGCCCCTGGTATTGCAGATGCTGCATGCTCAGGTGGGTGCTGACTATTCCCTGGGGTAAAGGGAGGACTAGCCTGGGGGTGCTGCGCTGGGAACAGCAGTGCCTAGTGGAGTTGGATGGGCATAAACTCCCCTGACCTGCTGGCAGCCCCATCTTGCCATTCCAGCTGCATGGCGCCTCCACAATTCCCTAAGGGAGGCTCTGAACTTGGCTTCCCCAGCTTGGGCCCCTCCTTCTGTCTGGCCTGAAAACATCCTTTATCTCATTGGAGCCCCAAAGGGCTCAGTGCCTCCCTGTCCTGCACCTGAGGGGTATGGAGACACCCAGGTACTGCACAGCCAGTCCAGCATCACCCCAGTCCAGTTTGGAGATTGAGCAGGGCAGCAAGGCCTCCATTGCTGTGGAAGGAGGAGAAGGACAAGTGGAGCCGTAACCTGTTCTGTGACCCTGGGCAGGGGATAAATTCCTCCAGCTGTGGAGTTTGTGCAGTCCTGGGATGGGGCCAGGTGCCCCAGGGGTTGAGGGGAGCCAGTCATGGGGTTGTTCTCTCCTCCTGCTGTCCCTGCAGAGAGCTTTGTGGCTCCAAGCCACCCAGAGCCACTGAACCAACCCTGGGGCCAGGCTAGTCCAAAAGGGACACAAACAGCCTTGCTGATGGATCTGGAAACCAGCCTGCAGCCCTACCTGTCTCTGCTGCACTTGGTTTATCATCCTGGAAAATCTTATCTCTGGACTCTCTGGGACTGGGCAGTGCCGGGAGACTGTGGTGAGGTGGAGGGGAAGGGTTGAGCATTGCAGCATGGCAGTGCTAGGCTGTGCTGGCACTCTGGCCATGGGGGAATCGGGGCCTGGCGTTGTGGGAGTACAACCTATCTTGGAGAACAGAAGAGGACACTGGCACTGGAGCCAGCCCTGCCCTGGATCAGCCTCCAGAATCCACCAGGTGCCAAGCCCTGACGAGGCCGTGTAGGGCTGACCAGAGAAATGGGCAGCCAGAGACAGATTTTTTGGAGCAGCGCCACACTAGGGCTGCCCTGCCACAAGCCCTCCTCACCCTGCCTGGAGGCAGGTCCTCTCTATTGCTCCCAGTTCGAAGGAGGGTCTACTCGTCTCTATGTAGACTTAGATCAGTGAGATGGGTGTCCCCAGCAGCTGGCCAAAGCTGCCTGTTGCCTGGGGTTCCCTGATGCCTTTTTTGAGGTAGAGAGCAGTGGCCATGATTCCCCTGGGGGCTTGAAGGGGTCTGGGATTGGTACTGGGTCACCACTTCCATCACAATGTGCTGTCCCAGTGCATACCCCATCACGCTCAGGGGCCTGCCAAGCCCCAGGCCATGTACCCCTTCCTTGGGTAGGACATGCTGTCTGTGCCCTGTGTCAAGGCTGGTCCCTGACACCACCTGCCTCTGCCTTACTCTGGTGCAGCCCTTGGCCCAGGCTGTCCAAAATGCCCTCGGTGCTTCTGCCACCACAAGTGCCTTCCCCTGGCTTTCTGCAACCCTGTCTGTCACACCGGCTCTATCCCCCTACAGCCTTTCAGGTGCCAATGGATTCACCTTGCAAATAAAGCAATGTTGGCACACACTGGGTGTCTGGGGCTTTGTGCTGGGGCTGGGACCTGCTGGGTATGTGGTCTGAGCTAAGATTACACCCAGCTCTGGAGCCTTGCACCCTGGGGCCTCTCTGCTTGGAGTACCTGGCCATGGTCATGGAGTCCTGGGGTGCTGTGGGGTCACAGGCAGGCTCCCTCATGTTGAGCCACTGCTCCTACTAGAGAGGCTTAAGCCTCTGCCCTTGGGGAAAGGGGTTGTCCCTGGCCCTGCTACCTTTCCAAAGACTGGGCACAGCCTGATGCTCACTTGAGACTCCAGACAGAGCAGAGGAAGGCCAAGTCTCCAGGGCTCTGGCTATGGGATGTACTGAGGACAGGACATAGTTGCATTCCTAAGGGCTTCATCACTCCATGCTGAAAGGGCCCTCTGTCCCAGGGTCAGGGCACCGCTGGGCAGTCGTGTACGCGCTGACTGGCCCTTGGTGGGTCAGGGGCCAATGGAGGGCTGCCTGCATCTCCCCAGACTGGTTGCAGCTCTGAGACACACGATTGGGGCAGAGTTGAGTCTTGGACCTGGACCCACAGCTGGGGTGTCACAGGGTCACCAGCCTTCTGCTCATAGGACACATGCCCTGTTCATCAGAGGCTGCAGCACTGTACTCTTATTGTCCAAGAGCCAGCACAGGGTTATAACAAGGTTACAACTTGGGCACCAGACGAAGTCCAGGATCCCCAGAGCATCCCTGGGAACCAGCATCCCTGCTCTACTGCAAGGACCTTTTAGGACAGCCCATGGTGCCCCGAGCAGTGCGAGCAGGGCTGCAGGCTGCTGGGCAGGGCAGTGCCAGTGCACCCAGGGCTGGGCTGCTCTGGGGGAACGGCTGGGCAGTGAATGAGCTCCACGGGCCTGTGGGGAACCTGCTGCTCCCTTCCGGGACTCCAGGTGTGGAGCTGCTCTCTGGTGTCTCCTTGGGGAGAGGTGGCCCAGCGACAAACACACCCACCCAGGGGTGGCTCATGGCGACAAACCCACCGTGACCAACACACTGGGTGCAGGCCACGCCAAGACCCAGACTGGGACTGAGCCCTCATCCAGGATTAGACCCGGATCAGCGCCCAGCCCTGGACTGGGACCGGATCCAGGCTGTGACTGAGCCGTACACCGAATCGGGACCGGGCGGGACGCCGAGCAGCCCCGTGCAGGGCCGGCCCCCGTATCTGGACCGGGCCCACCGAGACACCGCCCGGACCTCACGCCGGAGCGGGCGGGCCCGTCCCGCCGGGGCGGGGCTCCGCGGCGCGCCCGGCCGGCGCCGCCATTGGCCGCGCGGGGGCTCGCGGCGCGCCCGGCGCGTCACGGGGGCGCGCGGCGCTGTGGGGCCGAGCGCGGCGGGGCCGCCCGCTGCCGCTGCCGCTCCCGCTCCCGGTGCCGTCATGCAGCCGGCGGAGCGGGACGGGCCGGCAGGCGGCCCCGAAGGGGCGGCGGGAGCGGCTGAGGCCCCGCCGGAGCCGTCGCCGCCCAAGGCCGCCGCTGCTTTCGACCTGCTGGAGCTGGTGCGGAGCTACCGGCGGCTGGAGCTGTACCTGGAGCCGCTGCGGGACGCCGCCGAGGGTGTCCGCTCCCTCCTCCGGTAGGTGCGGGCTGGGCCGGGACCGAGACCGGGACCGTCCCCGGGGTCTCACGTCCCTGGCCTTCCCCCTCTCGGCAGGTGGCAGCGGCCTGTGTGCTCTCTCCTGGTCTGCCTCGGCCTCAACTTCCTCCTGCTCACCCTCGGCCAAGGTGCGTGTGGGGCTCGGGGCTGCTCCCGCTCCCGGAGCTCCGGGCTGACGCCGTCCCGCCTCTTGCAGCTGCCTGGTTCTCGGTGCTCGCCCTGCTGGTCGCGGTGCCGGCCCTGCTGGGTTACCTGCAGGAGACGAGCCGGGCCCGGCCGTCGGAGGCCGAGCTGGTGCGCAGGAGGTACCACAGCGTCCGCAGGGAGGATCTGCGCAAGGTGCAGCTCTCGCGGCAGGAGGCCATCGCCCAGGTCAAGAGCTTGTGAGTCCCTGGGGCCTCCCCAGCGCTGGCACTGGGCGGGCCTCTGCAGCCAGGAAGGCTTCTCGGAGACTGTGGGGGGCTTGTGCCAGTCTGGCTGCTGTAGCCCGCGTCAATGTGGGGAACGAGGCTGTGTGTTTGTGGGGTTTTCTGACTGTCTCATTGCAGCCTGATCCAGCTGGAGGGGTTTCTGAACGGGATGTGCTGCAGCTGTGAGGCAGTGTACCGTGTGCTGTACTGGGAGAACCCCACTGTCTCTTCCCAGTGAGTAGTACTGGGTCAGGCACCCTGTGGTGGGGAGAGGGGCTCAGCCAGGTCTGCGGTGCTGTGTTTGATTTGTTTGGTATTTGGAGAGAACAGATGGAACATCAGATGAAGGAAGGAGTTTTATGCTGTTGTGTGAGTTGACCACAGTATCCTGCTGTTTTCCACAGGTTTTATGGAGTGCTACTGGGCACTGTCTGTGTCCTCTACCTGCTGCCCCTCTGCTGGGTCCTGGCCATCCTCAATAGCACCCTCTTCCTGGGCAACACCCAGTTCTACCAAGGTATGAGACCTGGCTGGAAGTGCCCTGTGTGAGATGGGCTGGGGAAAGGCCCTCTGAAGCCAGGGATCCTGTCCACTGCCCCATGTCAGGCTCTGCCATAGACCCTGAGCCCCCGTGAAGGCAATGATGTCCTAGGGGTGGTGCTCAGCAGCCCAGGGTGGGTGGTATAGTCCCAGGGCTCAGCTGTTGGAGGTGAGAATCTCCCCTGATGTGTGTCCCAGCCCAGGTGCCATTTCCTTCTGTGGTGTGGCAAATCAGGGTCTGTCAATGCAGGCTGTGTGTGAGCCTCTCCATCCCTCTTGATTCCTGGCCCTGCTCTTCAGGGCTTCAAACACATTCAGTGCCTGTGGCAGTATATGACATAGGCTTGAAAGCATGCCCTTGGAAGGGAGAGGAGCTCTTTTCTGTGGCTCATGCTGAAGGAGTGTTGGATGTGTCTGAGCTGTGATGTTGGCCCCTGCCATTCCCTGTCCTGAGCTGGGGTAGGTGGTGGTGGAGGGAATTTCTTTTTGCCCTAACTTTGATATGTGAACAGAGGAGTGCTCAGGACATCTGATGAGTGAATGATATGTGTCAATGCCCCACCTTGAGCCCTGGATATCAGGTCTTGCAGTTGGCTTTTGTGTGATGTGGATAGGAGTAGGGAAATGCCTTTCTACTCCAGCTGTATTCCCCTCTTAACCAGTGATAATGGAGCTCAAGGCCTCCATCGAGCAGTGTGTGGGCTCCAAACCCCTCGAGAGCACTCCAGAGCCTGCTGAACCCCTGCCACCAGCTGCTGCCCCAGATCGGACCCCCACCCCCACCAGTGCAGAGGTGAGATAGGGGCAGGGCTGGCAGTTGTGGGGTGGGAGCTGCAGAGTCAGCCCTTGGGTCTGACCTCGCCTGTGTCCCTCTACACACAAATGTCTTCCAGCTGCCAGCTTTGCTGGAAGCCTGAGAGCCACTCCCGAGTTAGTGGGATGCTGCTCTCTGCCCTGAGGGCTTTGCTCAGTCCTTTGCCACATGTACATGTACGGATGTGGTCTGAAGAGGCAGGGGCTCACCTTCTGATACTTGTGTCATCTGTGAGGCTGCCTCGGGCCAGATCCATTGTCCTGGAACTTGCCCAGAAATGTGGGGCCACCTTTGAACGGAGGCAAGGGAACAGCAGGACTGGCTTTGTGACTCTCTTGTAGGACCTTACTCCTGGCAGTGTGGAGGAAGCAGAAGAGGCAGAACCTGATGAAGAGTTCAAAGATGCAATTGAGGTTTGAGGCTGGTTGGGGTGGGCTGTGCCTGCAGGGTAGCTGAGGTGGGAGAGGGACCAAGACCTTGTTGGGCAAACTGGGTGCTCAGAGAGGGTGACTGGGGCTGGGTGCCTCGGACTCTGTGTACTCACTCTCCTCTCTGTCCCATGCTGCGGGAGAAGGAGAACCAGCTGCTGGTCATGGTAAGTACTGCTATGCCAGGGTGTGGTATCTCCTCCCAGCTGGAGCTTTGCCTGGTTTGCCAGTGGTTTGTAGAAATGCCAGGTGGAGCACCCAGCTTGTTGGGTGATGACCTCTGGTGTGGGCTGCCCTGCAGCCCTCAGTGTGCCCCCGGCCACCCTGCTGTGCTCAGCTGGCTCTGCTCTCTGCAGGAGGATGATGAAAGCTCTCAGTGCTCAGCAGATTTTGACCTCAGCCTCCCAGACAATGGTTTTATGAGCAAAAATGAGGTGATCCGCAGCAAGGTGTCCCGCCTGACCGAGCGCCTGCGCAAGCGCTACCCCAGCAACAACTTTGGTGAGTTTGGGAGCAGTTGCTTCCTGGGGGAGCTCAGCAGCTTGGGCTCTGTGGTGCATCCAGTGGTGGCCAAAGACTGGGAGTGAAGAGGGTGGTGTGCTACTTGCTTGGCTGTGCTGACACCTCCAATGACCTTTTCCACTGTGTAGAGAGAATACTCCCAGCACTCCTAGGAAGGGCAAGGATGGGAAGGTGCAGCAATGTCATCTCTGAGCTGAGCCTTTACAACAGCTATAGATGTTCTTGTGCCACTTGCAGCCCCAGGCAGTAGAGCCCTGCCTGACCTCTGCTCTTTCTTTCAGGGAACTGCACGGGCTGTGGTGCCACCTTCTCTGTGCTCAAGAAGAGGGTGAGTATTTGGTTTCTGCCCCAGCTTGCTGTTTCCACCTGGGGCAGAGGTGTTGGTCATGTTTGGCTTGCCCCAGCTTTCTCCAGCAGCTCAGGTGTCTGGCCTCGGTCACAGCCCAAATGACTTCAGCTAAATGCTGGGTGTTGTCACATGCCTAATGGCACCAGGGATCACTTGTGTTGTGGAGCATTTGTCCATTTACTCCTTTGGAAGCTGCCTCAGGCCAAACCGACGTGTTATTGTAGAAGGTACCTGCTCTGTGCCCTGGTTTAGTGCATTTCCTGTGGCCTTTGAGGTGAAGTAGAGCATGGGTCTGCTAGTGGGAATGACCTGTTACCTTATCTGAGCCCTGTGTGTAATGCTTGGCACACAGTCTGTGGGCAGCTCTCAAAAGGCAGTATAGACTTTTGACCCCCTTCACTTACTCCTGGCTTAGTCTGTTATACATCTGTGTCTCACCTCCATCTTTCTCCACAGCGGAGCTGCAGTAACTGTGGGAACAGCTTCTGCTCCAGGTGTTGTTCCTTCAAAGTCCCCAAGGCTGTGATGGGAGCCACAGGTGAGCTGAAAGGTGGAGGGAAGAGCTTCCACCTGTTCTGTCTGCCCAAGCATTTGCCCCAGCCCTGGTGGGGAGGGTAGACAGGATGTGCCCAGCACAGCCTGGTTTGGGACAGAGCAGTGATGAATTTGCAGCTCTCGAAGCAGCCTTGTGGCTGGGGTCCCTAGCCATGGTGGGAAAGGGGGATCAGCTCTGACATTTGCTTTCCTTTCCAGCCCCAGAGGCTCAGAAGGAGACAGTGTTCGTGTGTGCACTCTGCAACCAGGCGCTCATCAAGTGATGAAACGGGCCCAGCCAGCTCCTGTGTCCTGCGCTGCCTGAGACCTGGGGCAGCGGGCAGGCACCCTTGCCACTGGGAGCCTGGAGTGTTTGGATCCCAGCATGGCATTCCCCTGCCAGAGGATGCTTACACTTGTGCTCCTCCTGCCAGCACCAGGCTGGATGGACCAGCCTTCCTTGCCATGCACCAGCTGGGTCGCTGTGCTGGAGCACTGCCCACGGCTGTGCCCCATCCCTGCAGCTGCTCCAAGCCCTGGGTACTCTTTGGCACTTGCTGTGTCCTGCCATGTGCTTGCCCAGGCCCTTTGGCCTGGCTCAGTGATGGAAGAGCCATCCTTCCTACTCGTGGTCCTGCCTTCACCTTCTGGGTGGGGCAGAACAACCTCAGGGCTCTGTCCCTCTCTTTCCCAGCACTGTGCTATAAGTGACTGTATTTTTGGGATCAGTTCAGAGCTCCTCCTGCATCCCTTGGGGTCTAGACTAGCTAGGTCTTTCATCCTGGCTCAGCTGAGACTCTGCTAGTCACTCCTGTGCTCCTCAGCCTCACTGCCTGCAGGTTTAGTCTTTTACCCCCGAATTTGGCTGCAACCCGGAGGAGGAAAGAGAATGAGTTTGCACTGGGCTGTGTGGCTGGGTCTCCAGAGTGACACAAGGCAGGAGTTGGTGCTGCTCTGTGCACTTAGTGACTGCTGCTTTCTACTACAGATTAATATAAAAATGCGTATCGAGAATGACCAATAAATCTCTTGTCCTCAGCTGCCTCTTGTGTCATCCCAGTAAAAGCTGTCCCTGTCCCAGGTTATTCTGACACCTCTGTGGCTTTGGCCCTGCTGTCCCACAGGTGCTCCTGGAGAAATGGTGTTCCTGTGCCACCAGCTCTCCATGCTTTATTGGAATTCTCATCTGTCCTGCTGTTGCCTTGTTTGCCCCCTGCTCAGAGCTGTGTGCAGCTGCCTGTCAGCTGTGCCAGGCTGGATCCTGCTGGGCTGGAGCCAGGGAGCACCTCAGCTCTGACAGGAGCTGCTGAGCTTCCTCTGCCTCCCGCGGCTGCTCCTTGCCCTGCCCTCCCCGGGTGGTGGTCCCACCAGCTGCCTGTGTGCACAAGGATGACCTTTCCTTGTGTGAACAGCAAAGCTCCCAGCTATCCCAGGAATGTGACCCTGGCTGCTGTGCAGCTGGAAGCAGCCATGGCCTTCGTCCCTGCCAGCCAGCTGCAGCTTCCCCCAGGCCAGGGAATGTGGGGGGGGATCAGTGCCCACCAGGCTGTGACACCCACTAGTCTGAGAAGTTGCTGGAGCCCAGACCTTGCTGCAAGCTCTACATCCCACCAGTGTGAGAGCTCCTGTGTGGCAGGCCAGCCTCAACAACTTAGCTGTGGGCTCATAAACTTCACATAAAAATTTGGAGAAAAGCTGGACTTGGCATCTGATGATGAGGGTGTCTGGCTTGTGCTGGGTGTGCAGGGGACTGGTGTGCAGAGGGCTGAGCAGTTAGGGGGGCAGTGGAGCAGCTGTAACACTGGGGAGGGTGCTGCGTAGCACTGCAAGAGCTGTGGGTGTGTTTGTGAGGGTGTCTGCAATGGGATATGCAATGGGGTCAGCTTGCTCAGACAGCTGGCAGTGGGAGGCAGAGAAGCCACTTATATTTCTAGAGAAAACACTTGGAGCAATGAGCACGATGGCCATGTATGTCTGAGCACTCTCTGGGAAGATGCTAATGACGCAGAATACAGACGGCTACAGATAAACTTAGGCTGTGGGAGATGGAGTTTTATTTATGCTTTTAAAGTTTTGCAGTAAAATATCATAATTGACAGAGTTTATTCCTATGGAAGTGCACTCAGCAGTCAAGCTCTGAACAAACCTTCTAATAATATTTGAATTTTTTCCTAGTGGCCAGGGAGGAGTGCCCATTTCTGGTGCAAGGCTGGGGCAGGGGCTGGCTGGCCCATGTTCCTGGCTGGCTGTGGGGCAGGGGCATAGGCACCTCTCCCTGGCCAGAGTGGGAGATTTGGGGCTCTGGAGGCTGACCAGTGGGGCCAAGGCCATGCCCAAGGAGGGCAGAGGGAGAAGAGGCCACCCAGAGCAGGGCAGATGCACAGTGCTCTTGTCAGCCAGAAGAGGGTGGGTGCAGACATCCTGCAGCCTCAGTTTCCTTCTTGTCCCAGGCCCCCTGAGGCTGGGCCAGCTCCAAAGAGAAGACAGTGCCAGGCAGCCAGGCACTGGGTAAATGTCCTGGCAGCCGCCCTCATTCCCCCTCGCCCTTTGGGACAGGTGGATACAAGTACGGGCTGCAGAACACCACGGGGCTGCTCAAGCTGCCCCCCTGCCAGCTGGGGCTGGGGGGGCAGCTGGGGAGTCCAGCTGAGCTAAGGGACAGCCCCTGGTGCCAGCTGAGGGCTGCCCTGGTCCTTGGGCTTTTGGGAGGGTCCTGGCTAGTGCAGGTGGGTGGCCCTAGGAATCATGTTGGAGGAGGCTGGAGCTTGTGGCATGTGAGGTCTGGCAGCCAAGCAGGGCTGGCAGGGCGCTGCAGAGAGGACTTTCAGTGTGGGGAGGACAGGGTTGGAGGCTGCCTGGTCCAGTATCTGCCCCCTGTGATGCTCAGTGCCAGGCTTCTCACAAGTGCTGTGAGCTCCCAGACCATAGATTTATCCTCTGGGGTGACAAAGGAAGAAACTTCCCTGGCAAACCACTGACAAACCCAGCTGTGGGGCTACAGCAGCAGTGATGGCCCTATCTCCCCATCCTACTCATCTCAATGCCCTCCCAGGCTCCCTGGAGTGGCAGGAGTGCCTGAGTCTCCAGGAATGCCTGTGACCACCAGAAACCACATCCCTTGGCTTGGCTGGACTGCCCAAGTTCAGGCTCTGGGCACGGCACCTGGAGTGGGGCAAGAGCCAGATCCTGAGTGACCTCGCTCCCTCAGGCTGCCTCACTCAGTGGACAGGACTGGGACCCCCCTCCCATTTTTCTGTGGTCCCTGAGAGAGCCCCAAGGTACTCTTACCCATGAACTGCAGTGAGTGGCACAAAGACTTCTCTGAGCTGGAATAATTTACTGTGGTGTTGATGGGCAAGGGGTGCATGGGCTGGGTCACTGCAGGGTGTGTGCAAGGGGCGCAGCAGGCCTGGTCTGGGGCACTTGGAGGTGGACCCCCCTCACACACTGAGCCGTGTGGGGAGTGGGGAACCCAGGAAGGGTTTGTGCAGCTCTGGGCACTTGGTCTGGAGGGAGTCAGTCTGTGGGAACAGAGGGGCAAGAGGGACCTGTCTGGGCTGGGCTGGATCTCTGTGAAGGCGAGATAATCCAGGGCTGGATGTGAGCTCCAGGTGAGGGCATGGGATGTGTTGGTGGGCTAGAATAGGGACTGGGGGGGCTGAGGGTCTGCAGCGTATCATGAGGGAGCTGGGAAAAGGACATGGCTGCAGGGTCAGGGTCCCAGAAGTAGCCAAAAGGGCCAAGCCGGGATCCTAAATGAAAGCAAGGGTCTCTGGGCTTCTCAGTGGGGAACCTGGCCATGGACAAGGGTATCCAGTAGAGACCAGGGCTCACAAGCATGCAGAACAAGGGTCCTGGGTCCAGACTAAGCTCCTGGACAGGAGTGGGGGTCCTTGGAGCAGAACAGGGTCCCAGGGGTGCAGAGCAGGGCTCTCAGGAGCAAACAGGTGTCCTGGCTGTGGATCAGGGCTCCCCACAAACACAGCAGGGAATCCTGCATGTGCAGAGCTGGGTTCTGGGGCACAAACCAAGGGGCTGAGGTGAGCAGAGCTCAGGTCCTGGGGTTCAGCCAGGGAAGCCAGGGGTGGGATGCTGGGCCAGTGCAGGAGTTCTGGGAGAAGGCAGGGTGGGCAAAAAGCCCTAGTGCTGCCCAGCCCCATAGAGCAGGGGGTGGTAGAGTGGGCAAGGGTAGGAGAACATGAACTTGACTGCAAACTTCATCTCCTTGTTGTGCTTCTGCCAGGGGTAGATGGCCAGGAGGAGCAGGCGGCCGCCCACCTTGCGGCCCATGACCAGGAAGCTGCCACTGAGGCTGTCAAGCTGGGGGCAGGGGCAGGCACCCGCGTTCCTCATGTGCAGCACCATCTTCTTGGTGTCTTTGCGCTTCAGCGGGCCCAATTTCAGCACCTTCTTCTTCTGGGCAGCCACCAGCCGCCGCTCCCCGTTCTCCTCTGTGATCTCCTTGATGCGCATTTTCACCACTGCGAGGGGCAGCCGTGGGGCACGGTTGGGGGAAGGGAGCACTGCTGGGGGGCTGGGGAGGGGAGGGTCTGGCCAGGCACCTGTGCAGGACAGGGTGCAGCCTATCCCTGGGTTGGGTCTCTGGGGATGTTACTGTGTGGGGAGGGGAAAGGGGTTGTTGGGGGGGTCCAGCAGAGGCCCCCAGTGACCCTCCGAAATGTCTTCTCCTGTGGCACACCCATCCCATGCACGAAGGGTCCGAGGGAATGGCTCTGGGGTCTCCCATGGGGCTGTCCTCATACAACCCCACCCTCTGGCCTCCTCCCACCCCAGCTGTCAGACACAGGGGAGGCCAACCCTCGTCCAGGGGAACTGGGAAGGAGACCCCAGCACTCACCAAAGTCACTGGAGCACATCTGCTCCATCATGCCATCCGCCTTGTGCTCCATCTCACACTGGGTGCAGATCTTGGACACTGTGGTGAGAGACCAGTTACTATCACAGCTTCATGCTGCTGCTACTTGTCACCTGGGCCAGCTCCTCGGGGACACGCCTGGGAGAGCCCCAGCAGCTCCTCTGCTCCCTAGATAGCTGTGCTGGGTGATGCAGAGAGACACAGAGCACCTTGCTGGCCAGGGTCATCCCCCAGGAGGGGAAGAGATACAGGGACACCCTCCCGTAAGATGCTGGCACTTTGAAGCGCAGCAACAGCAAGGGTGATCCCAGGCTAAAGGCTGTCGCAGCCCTGACCCTGACCCTAGGTTGCCTTTGGGTGATGTCCCCTCTCCTGCCTGAGGGGACAGCCGCCCTGCAGTAGCAGTGTCGGGCTGACACCCGCAGGTGCAGCATGTTCTCCTGCTGCGGACATGGGACCCACTGGGAGCAGAGGGACAGCGCTGTGCTGGTTCTGCCAGCGGCTCCCGCCTCATCCCGTGTTCTTCCTCCTCCCACGACAGCGCTGTGCAGGCAGCTGGGAGCACAGTGCTCCTGGGCAGTGAGCGCCCAGGCAAAGCTGATCCTGTGCCCACTCCTGGCCTGTTACGGACAGAGTCCTTGGCCAGCGCCGGTGTCCCGGGCTGTGCTTTGAGGGGTGAAGGGTCGGCTCTGCAGGGGCTCCACATGCATTCCCATGCCGTTACAGTACCCTTCCCACTTACCTGGTGGTGGCGTGGCTTTGCTGTTCCCAAACTGGACGGCGATGCAGAGCTCATGGTCAGAGGGGAACTTGGCACAGTGCAGCATCTCAGGCCAGGGGAAGCCGTAGGACTCCATGACAGGGGCACAGGAGTCGCGTACCACCTCGCAGAGGGAGCGGCAGGGGTAGACGGGCCGGTCGAGGCAGACGGGGGCGAAGAGGGAGCAGAGGAAGAGCTGGGTGTCGGTGTGGCACTGCTTGGCGAGCAGGGGCACCCAGCTGCCAGCCTGCTGCTTGGCTTCGGCCATGCTCTCGTGCTCCAGCAGGTTGGGCAGCCGCATGCGCTTGTAGCCCACGTCGCGGCAGAGCTGCATGTCGGGCGGGATGTCGAGGCACTGCGGCTCCCGCCCGTAGAAGCGCCCGTGGGGCAGGCTCTCGGGCT